ATAACATTTTTAATTGTGATCTAATAGAGCAGATTTTTAGTGGTGCTGACTTTGTTAACGTCTGAGCTCTTTGCTGCAGGTAGGCGTCTCTCTGCACTCTGATTGCCTGAAGGCTCTTTTTGTCCATCATTTTTGCTGCAGCCGGGACTTTAGTGGTGAGAAATGTGTCGGGAAACCAGATGATGTTTGCAACCAGAGTGATGGCGGGAACCTGCGAACACACAATACGTGAGCATGAGCGAAGATATAGTGAGCAAAGGGATTATTTTTTAATGGAAAACCAAATAAGACCACAAATCTACCTTTTTGCAGACATCAAGCAACGCCTTGTAGAGCTTTTTGTCGACACACCTGAAAATGTGAAAGTGGAGGACAAACAGAGCACAGACTGAAGCATATTTATCTCTCTGGTCAATTTCTGTAGGTTCGCCTAAATAAAGAAAAAAGAAAAACAACAAATCAACAAAACAAAGTAGGGGTTTAAAAATGCTTTTGATAATGATAAGAAACTGACCAATTTTTGACTCCACATTTGTGAATAAGGTGCGAATGTTGAACGCAAACTCCTCAGCAAAAACACTGTTTTTGGAGATGGCAACTCCCTCCCCTGGATCATCAAACCTCTGCTCCACACAGGCCTGTCAGACATCACAAAGTTAATGCTGCTCAGAAGAGTCAAGGCTCCCACATACTCGGGCGTACTATGCGTACGCCGTGAGCCGCGTAGACACTGTGCGCACTGTCCGCAGAGGGTTGGGACTTCACACTCGAGTGTACACCCTGATGGGCTGCAGCCCAGCTCCAAAGGCATGGGGCGTTAACCTTCGGGACAAATTGAGGTGGCTGATTGGTCATTTGCTGACACAACTACTGGATTGATTGACAGGTTGCAAAAAAAATAAATAAATAAACGAGAGCTGCTGGCAGGCCTGGGTAGAGGCAGCTGGCAGCCCAGGAGCAGCGGTGTTCTGGGTTTATGTGCTGTTAATAAAAGGTTCTACCAAAAAAAACCAACAGGGAGCACTGGCCTTGCAGCTCACACATCAGACCGGCCCACTGGGAAATCTCCAGATCCTCCCGCAGCCACGCTGGACCTGATTTTAATTATCTCGTGACAAATTCCTTCATTTCTCACAATTTCAGTCATGGCATCGACGGACGAAGAGGAAGAGATCGCTTGCCTCTTGACAAAAATAACAAAAGAAAAGGGCATTAAACCAGAGCAGGGACGAAGAAGGGGAATTTAATACATTGGTGTCGCATACAAAACAGTCCGTCACAGGACAGTTTATTGTGCGACACAGAGTACACGTACGTAAAAATTGATCTTTGCATGGACATGGCTTGTGGACGTCCACTTCGAGTCCGCCTCGGGTACTGCGGAGTGAAGTACGCCTGAGTATGTGGCAGCATTCAGACTTACACTTTATTGTCACGAAAGATAAGAAAATTACCTGCACGATCATGCCATCCAGCAGCTGTCCCTCCAGCTTGAGCAGGAGCTTCTCAAACGGTTTTAGCTTCTCTTCAAAGATGGAAAACTTTCCAGGATTATGATGTACAGACTTCAATAACCTAAATATAAGATACATATACATCACTTAAGTTTAAAAAAAACTTTGATTTTTACACTATTATTACTTATTTTTTTTACTTACACTATTTTTACACATTTTACATTTTAGTCACTTTTATAAATCAGTGTGAACTGCTCTTGATGGAAGACCAAACCCTTCACAGTTTAGGAAATTTGGTTTAATCCTAACAAAACATGGTTAGAAAGCAATTACACGAGTGTCAAAGGGGAAACAAAAGGAATGTGTGACAATTAAACAAATGACTCATAACTGACAGCTATACTGAGAAATGATCAAAATCAAAACAGTTGCTTAAGGCCAGTTAATAGTGACACGTTACCGAACCATCGTGCAAAACTAAATCCTCGATCTGAGCATGTATCTGGCATTCAAGCAATCTTCTGATGTCTCTTTCAGGGTAATCAATCATTAGTAAAAATATATAGTTTACGAAGAGACCTTATCTTCACAAGCATGTTAACAAGTTTTAGCAGACATTTTGATTGTTAAAAAAAAAAGCAACAACTTCCTAACTGGAACAATGTGGCATTGTCTTTGGCTACGATATGTCTCACAGTTAAAGCCAGATGGTCTTCAGGGAATAATGCTAATGTATCAAAGATATTTCAGCAAGTATTCAGACTTTTGCAGACAGCATCAAAAGGTGGAGACAAATATTTTACCAAGACAACAGCCTCTTTTCAGTAACACCTATTCTTGGGGCTCTGATTAGCAGATAGTGCTAAATACAGGTGTGAACTATAACAATGCACTTTGAAGAACATTAGATTAGCACAGACCACCAACAAACATGGCATGCACCACTGCATACATTTGGTATTCTGATTTTAATCAGTTCTGAGCCTAGCTGTAGGCTCACTTACTGAACTGACATGACCTCACAAAGTCACAGAGTTATTACCTGGATGCCTCAAAGCAAAAATAAAAGAAAGTCAACTTCAGCTATAATTCAACACCTAAACTTGGGAGTGTTTAACTTTTTTATTTTGATTTTTCCAGTTATGTTTTATTCAGGGCAGCACGGTGGCGCAACTGGTAGAGCTGCTGCCTCTCAGTGAGCAGGTCCTTGGTTCAAACCCCGGTCCAGGGGCCTTTCTGGGTGGAGTTTGCATGTTCTCTCCGTGCATGCGTGGATATTCTCCGGGTACTCCAGTTTCAGTAATCCATGCCTTTGTCTCGGCTGCATTACTGTAACACTCTTTACCTTGGAGTCAGCCAGTCCTCCCTCAGACATCGCCAGTTGGTCCAGAACGCTGCTGCTCGGCTTCTAACTGGAGTTCAAAAGAGGGAGCACATCACCCCCATTCTGGCTTCACTCCACTGGCTGCCTGTTCATTTTAAGATTATTTTATTTGTTTTTAAATGTTTAAATGGTCTTGCTCCATCCTACCTCTCTGAGCTGCTTCACCCATATTCTCCTGCTCGGTGCCTCAGATCAGCTGATCAGCTGCTCCTGGAGGTGCCGAGGTCCAAACGGAGGCTCAGAGGGGACAGAGCTTTCTCTGTTGCTGCTACAAGACTGTGGAACGATCTCCCTCTTCCCATCAGACGAGCCCCTTCACTGTCCCTTTTACACATTTTTACTCCCTGGCTTTTAGCACAGACTGAAATTTGCTCTGCACCGTTTTTATTGATCTTAATATTTTAACAACTGTTTTATTTTTACGTGTTTAAACTTTCTTGTTCATATGTGTACAGCACTTTGTTGCAGCTGTGGTTGTTTTAAAGGGCTTTATAAATAAAGTATTTTTATTATTTACAACACCAAGGAATTTTCGTGAGTCGTGCAAGCATCATCAAGTAAACTCTCTTCAAATAATATATTTTCTTTTATAATACGAAGTCTAAAATTGTTTTATCAATAAGAAACAAAAGGTTTTTTTTTCTTATCTGACTTGCTACAACAGCTGTGAATATACTGACCTTTTATACATCTTCCAATGATCTTTTAGTGTACTATGATTTTCCATAATTTCATCAAGTGTAATGAGCACCACCAACAACTCCCCCAGATGTTCATACACAACCTGCAAGTGAAACGCAAAGATGAAAGAGGAAATACAGATTGAGTGAATACAACTGGATCAGCTTCTTTTCAAAGGTCATCAAATCCCAAAACTCACTTGAAAATGGACACCTGATGATTCAATGATTTTTGTTGCACTCCTAAAATAAGGAGATAAAATATTTAGCACACCTTTTCACGCAAAAGAACAGAAAAATATGCATTACTTGTTTAAAGCAGAAACAAAACTTAAATAAGACAGTTGTATCGGAACTCTGCACATTCTAAATCACTAAAAACCCAATTAATTTGAAAGTGATATAATGTAAGCAAGCAGTCTAATCTTGATTACAGTAATGTTATGGCCCAGGGCGTTGTCAGTGTGCTTCTCTAATATCTCTGTTTCAGAGCTCCTAATTGGTGTTGATTAGAAGTGGAGGCAGCTGGCCAGTGTCTCCAGAAGAGCTTCAAATCCAGCTCAAGATCCACCACTTGCTCTCATTCCTCCTCCCTTCTTGACCTGTCTTCTCCAGCCAGCCATTATTTTTGATAAATAAATCTAATCTTAAGTTTTCCCACGCGTTGCTTCCCCTTTATTTGTTATGGTCCTTGAGCCAGGCCGTAACAAATTGGGGGCTCGTCCTAACTTAAGTTATAGTTTGCGCGACAATTTTTTCTGTTTGAGATGTGAGTAAGTATTTTTTTTTTTTTTGTTAAATTTAGTTGGGAAGCTAGTGTAGGATTCTTGGGTTTTGTTTGATTTGTTCTGGCTGGTGGTAAGTTGTTTGCTTTCAACTTCATTTGATGGATCCAATGGTAAGTGTTGATTGTTGACTAATTTGTTCCTAATCTGAACTAACTCCCCTGTAGGCTTCAGCGTGTCTCCCCTTTGGGATTCATGAGCTCAAAAAAAACAAATGGTAGTGTGAGATCATATGGGTAGAGCAGTTGTCTCGGGGGCACAGCCATAGTGTTGGGGGGTTGCCAGTTTCTGGTCGCTTTTCCACCCTACTGGTAGAAGAGTGCGTAAGTACCCACCATCCCTGTTCTCTGAAGACTAGGGTTGAGTTAGTTAGTCTTATGGTAGGCAGTTAGAGGGGAGGTTTGGATTGGTTGTGCAAATTATCAGCAATTCAATTTAATCTTTCTGAGACACTGTAAGAATTACTTATGTCTGTTGAAGAATTTAATCAATCTCCGTCAGTGGAATTTTTGGAGCAGTGTTCTAGAGAGCAATTGGTAAAGATTGCTAAGCACTTTAAAATAAGTGTGGGTGACAAACGGTTGAAAGAAAATGTTAAATCAATTTTAAGGGAGAAGTTAATTGAAATGGATATTTTGACAGTGCCTTCAAAACCTGATGAGTTGGGTTCTAAGGGTTTAAACACTAATGTTTTGGATTTTCAACAACAAAAAGAAATGTTAATGTTAAAAATGCAGCTGGAGAAAGAAACTCAGCTGGCATTAGAGAATTTGCGACAGCAAGCAGATTTGGAGAAGGCTATGGCTTTGGAAAAAATGAGGCAGCAAACTGAATTGGCAAGATTAAACTTGGAAAGTGAGAAATTGAATCTGATGAGAGAAGGTAAACTGTCTGATGAATCTTGTATGGTGGACTCTAAGACTAAATGCTCTGATATTTTGAATGACTTGCGCTTGGTGCCCAAGTTTAGTGAAAAGGATGTTGAAACTTTTTTCACTTTGTTTGAGAGGGTTGCAGAGACAAGGGGCTGGTCTGATTCAGACCGTACAGTTTTGCTTCAATGTGTTTTGGTTGGTCGTGCTCAAGAAGCTTTCTCTATGTTAAGTTTAAATGATTGTCAGAATTATGCCAAGGTTAAAGCTGTTATACTAAAGGCATATGAGTTGGTACCTGAGGCATACAGACAGAAGTTTAGAAACTGGAGAAAGGGTGACAAAACCTATGTAGAGTTTGCAAGAGATTTGGAGATGCATTTTCATCGGTGGTGCACGTCCTCTCAGGTCAAAACATTCAATGACCTTTGTAATCTAATGGTTCTGGAACAATTTAAGAACTCTGTTTATGAACGTATTGCAGTATATATTAATGACCAAAAGGTGAAAACTGTGTCAGAAGCTGCAGTGTTGGCTGATGACTTTGTTTTGACACATAAGGATACTAGGGAAGAACATACAGGGTGGATAAGTGCTCCAAAATGGCATTTAGCACATTCTGCTGGTTCCTTTTCAGACCACAGTAACCATAATCTGGACAAAATTTGTAATTATTGTCACAGAAAAGGTCATTGGAAGAAGAACTGTGCTATGCTGAAATCGAGAAACACAAATGAGTCTCACGTTAAACCAGTAGCATTTGTGGCATCACTTTCTTTAAATGTAACAAAAAAGAAACCTGATTTGAGTGCCTATGGACCATTTATTATGAAAGGACAAGTTTCTTTAGTGGGGAGTGAAATGAAGGTGCCAATTACAATCTTGAGAGACACTGGTGCATATGATTCATTCATCCAGGCATCAGTGTTGCCTTTTTCAGATGAATCCAACACTGGATTATCTATACCTGTGTTGGGTATGGGCATGTCTGTGTTTTGTGTTCCGGTGCATAAGCTCATGCTCCATTCAGAGTTGTTTGACGGGGAAGTAAAAATGGGTGTTCGACCTGCTTTACCTGTGGATGGTGTCACAGTGATATTGGGAAACAATATAGCTGGAGGAAGAGTTTGGCCTGGTCAAACAGAGTGTCCAGTTGTTGTTTCAGTACCTTTGATCAGCAGTGGCCCTGATGGAAATGAAGAATCTCACCCTGAAGTTTTTCAATCATGTGCTGTAACGCGAGCAATGAAAACATCCAGTGCTGTAAATCTGAATGAAGACTTGGGAAAAGATAAACAGCTGTCATATTTTTGTTGGTCTGACATCCCTTTGTCTATTTCACAGACTGACCTGGTGCAGTATCAGAGATCTGACCCTACATTGCAGGACTTGCTTCAGTCTGCTTTACCTGCTGAGGAGATGCAGAATCGTGCTCATGGATACTTTGTTGAAGACGGGATATTGCTAAGGAAATGGGTGCCATGTAGTGACAGTAGTATTGGGGAGCCAGTTTATCAGGTAGTTGTGCCTTTGAAATTGCGTGACTTAGTTTTGCGTGTATCTCATGATGAGTCCGGACACATGGGAGTCAGAAACATATAACCGCATTTTGAGAATTTTTTTTTGGCCCCAAATGAAAAAAGATGTTGCTTCCTATATTAAGACATGTCACACCTGCCAGTTGATTGGTAAACCCAATCAAACTATTAACCGGGCGCCACTATATCCTATTCCAGCTATTGGTCAACCATTTGAGCACTTAATCATTGATTGTGTGGGTCCTCTTCCACCTGCACATTCAGGTGCCAGGTACCTTTTGACTGTTATGTGCCAAAGTACCAGGTATCCAGCAGCATATCCATTGCACACACTTACTGCAAAGTCTGTGGTGCGAGCACTTACGCAGTTTATTGCCATTTTTGGGATACCTAAAGTTATTCAGAGTGACCAGGGATCTAATTTCTCCTCTCATTTGTTTGCGCAGGTTTTGAAGCAGCTGCACATTAAGCACAACCAATCTACAGCTTACCATGCACAGAGCCAAGGCGCACTGGAGCGGTTTCATCAGACATTAAAATCTTTACTCCGTGCTTACTGTGTTCAGATGAATACTGACTGGGAGGCTGGTCTGCCTTGGTTGTTGCTTGCAGCAAGAGAAGTAACTCAGGAGAGTACAGGCTTCAGCCCTAATGAATTAGTTTTTGGTCATACTGTGCGTGGCCCCTTAACTGTGTTGCGGGATGAGTGGAGGGATACTAAACCACCACAAAATCTGCTCCATTATGTTAATGGATTTAAGCAAAGGCTATATGCTGCTACACAGTTGGCAAAGGAGAAATTATCAGCTGCACAGGTAAAGATGAAGCACATGTATGATAAGAAAGCCGAACATCGTGTCTTTCTTTCAGGGGACCAAGTACTGGCCTTACTTCCTCTGGTTAGTTCACCATTTCAGGCCAAGTTTGCTGGGCCTTATACAGTTGTGAAACAGCTGTCGGAACAAAACTATGTCATTGCTACCCCTGAACGGCGGAAAAAACAGCACACCATTCATGTTAACCTCTTAAAACCATATCATGTTCGTGCTGAGAATGTATTGATAGATGAAGTTCACCCTATGTGTGTTGGTGAAACGGTGACGTCTGCTGGCCATGAATGGAATGGAGATGGGTTGCCTGCTCCAGATTCAGCAATGTTAACTGGTCGACTCAGGAACTCTGCAGTATTGAAAAACTTGGATGTTGTGCTGGATTATTTACCAGAGTCACAACGCTTTGAGTTGATTCAATTGATAAACTCTATAATTCTGTTTTATTTGCAGATGTTCCATCCTGCACGCACATGATAGAACACGACATTGAAGTTGGTGATGCACAACCTATAAAACAACGGTTTTATAGAGTTAACCCAGACAAACGCAAACATTTGGATGCTGAGGTTCACTATATGTTAAAGAATGGCATTGCTCAGGCATCATCTTCAAGCTGGGCTTCACCTGCTTTGTTGTGTCATGACATGACATAATTTGACATGATTCAGGTGGAGACCCTGTTTTGAAGAGGGGGGGTGTTATGGCCCAGGGCGTTGTCAGTGTGCTTCTCTAATATCTCTGTTTCAGAGCTCCTAATTGGTGTTGATTGGAAGTGGAGGCAGCTGGCCAGTGTCTCCAGAAGAGCTTCAAATCCAGCTCAAGATCCACCACTTGCTCTCATTCCTCCTCCCTTCTTGACCTGTCTTCTCCAGCCAGCCATTATTTTTGATAAATAAATCTAATCTTAAGTTTTCCCACGCGTTGCTTCCCCTTTATTTGTTATGGTCCTTGAGCCAGGCCGTAACAGTAATTAAAAATGTTCAATGCGTAAGGGTACAAAAACCTTATACTGATACACATTTCTGCTGGAGTGTTATCAGAGAATACCAAGGTCATGAATTGTCCTGAGACGGCTGACTTCAGTTTATAAGTTGTTTTGTATGGATGCACAGTGCACCATATTTCTCATAGCAGTGTTTGTATTCAAGCCATTCCAGTGAGGACATTTGCATTGATTTTGTTACATAATAGTTTTCAGCTCACGGCTCTTACCTGTTGCTGCTGTAGAGGGCAGCTAGCTGATGGACAATGCTGACCACCACTTCGTAACATCTTGAAACAAAGCAGGACAGCTCCTATCGAAGGAAAGCAACAAGTACTGTCAGAGAATATATTGGTCAAAGGTTATGAATGTTTTTATTGTGCTTTAATATTGTGGTTGAGAACATCTTTCCCCTCTGCCTTGAGAACAAGCAACTCAACTGTCTCCCAAAACACTCTCTTATCTCGAACTGAAGAATGTCTCTGATGCCTGGACCCGCATTTGTGAAAACAAAGAGTAAGTAAGTAAGCTTTATTTATATAGCACTTATCATAGATACAATCACAAAGTGTTGTACAACAATAATAAATAAAGGCTTAAAATAAAACAAAAATAATAACAGCTCATTAATAAAAACAGTAACAGCAGCTGGTAAAAACAGTAAAACATTTAACTAAAAGCTTGTCGAAATAAAAATGTCTTAAGCTGCGTTTTAAAAGAATCAACAGAGACGGTCACATGAAGAGACAGGGGCAGGGCATTCCACAGACGGGGGGCTACAGTCTGAAAGGATAGGACACCCCGAGTTTTAAACCGGGTCTTAGGAACCTTAAGAAGGTTCAACACTGAAGACCGAAAGGTGCGGGCTGGAGAATAAGGAGTCAACATTTCAGTGATGTACTGGGGGGCCTGTCCATTTAAAGCTCTAAAAGTCAAAACTAAGATTTTAAAATTAATTCTAAATTAACTGAAGAGAAGATAAAACTGGTGTAATGTGACCTCCTATTAGTTCCTGTTAAAAGCCTCACAGCAGAGTTCTGGACCAACTGGAGACGAGCGACGGCAGTTTTGTTAAAACAAGTAAAAAGGGAATTACAATAATCTAAACGAGAAGAAATAAAAGCATGAATAATCATCTCCAAGTCAGATCTGGATAACATTGCTCTCAGTTTGGAAATGTTTCTCAGATGATAAAAGCAGTTTTTTTACCAGAGGCTTTGAATGTTTGTGTAAGGACACGGACTGGTCGAACTGAACACAAAGGTTTCTGAGGCTCAGCTGAGAAGAGGAGCGCAGAGAACCGAGGTGTTGTGTGATCCAAGGAACTTTCTGTTCAGGGACAATGATCAGGGTTTCCGTCTTGTTAGAATTTAACTGAAGGCAGTTGTTAGCTAGCCAAGTCTTAATATGGGAAACACAGTTTACTAATTCAGCTAACTTATGTAATTCTGAGTCATAGAAGGAACAATACAGTTGAATATCATCAGCATAGATATAGTAAGACACATTTCTGAAGCTACTGATAATCTTTCCAAGGGGGGTGATGTATAGAAGGAACAGAATAGGACCCAAGACTGAACCCTGAGGAACACCATATAGTAACAGAGTGGTCTTAGACTGAATGTTATTAACAAACTGTGGAAAATAGTAATTATTATAAAAGTTTAAAAACTCTTAATAATTAGAAAACTGGAGACACCTCTCTTTAGCTCAAATCGGAGCGCAAGTTTTATTCTTTTTGCAAAAAGGAGACACTCACTGTACAAAATCAGGATGAGCACTAAACACAAAGAGGCAGTACACACATTTTATACATGTTTCGTGCGTCACAATAGCATCACAACAGAAGGGAGGACAAGGTTTCTCATGCTGATACCAAACACATGCTCTTGTTCTCAGCACAAGGTGTTTCTTTTCTTGTGGAGCTGGTGGTTTTTAATTTGATTTGTAACAGCCTTCTGTCCTTGTGGCTAGAACATTCTGATAAAGAGGGAACATGTTGATGCGAAGAGCGTCCTCAGCACGCAAACAGTCAGATAACGCCTGCGTGTGTGTCCTCGTCTCTTGCAGGTGCTGTTTGCAAGGACGTTGCTGAGCAGGAGACTTTGAGGAGAGTTTACAAGAGTTCACATCTACACATCAACTTTAAAAGCTGCAGGATGAGCATGAATTAAACAATATTTAAACAATACGTGTCAGTTTATTAATTTTTTACACAAACATTGAAAAGGTTCTGTTGCTCAGATAAGAGGAAAACCACTTAAGAACAGTTCCAGAAAATCCCATCTCATGTTGCAGTCGATATATCATAATTTTGTGGTCGACTATGTCAAAAGCAGATGATCGATCCAATAAAATCAAAACACTGCTCTGACCAGAGTCTGCAGTCATCAATATGACATTGGAGACTTTTAATAAGGCAGTTTCGATGGAGTGCATCCTGCAGAAACCAGATTGAAACTTATCGAGAATATTATTATTTTGCAAGAAAGTAGTCATCTGCCCAGCCACTAACTTCTCCAGAATTTTGGCGAGAAAAGGCAGTTTTGATATTGGCCTGTAGTTGCAGAGCTCAGTGGGGTCAAAGTTGAGCTTTTTCAAGATCGGATTTTAAATTGTTTATTTCAAAAAACTTGGAACTGACCAGGTTGAAAGAAAGATGTTAATTAATTCTGCCACATGGGGGCTGACAATATCAGACACTTTTAAAAACAGTGATGTGGGTACAACATCTAGCACGCAGGAAGAAGGTTTGATCTTTTTTAGAACAACCTTCACATCCTCTAAAGTGACAATTGAAAATGAAGACCAGGGGCTCACTGTAGGGACTGAACTGGGGGTGACACCAAGAGCTGATTTAACACGCCTTGATATAGTCAACCTTTTCCACAAAATAGTTTAAAAATCTATTGCAGTCATCTAATGTGAATACAGGCACCAGAGGGAGTGAAGGTGAAACCATATTATTAATGGTATCAAACAAGACTTTTGGATTTTTCTTGTTCATACTCACAAGATTAGAAAAATATGCAGACCTGGCCTGTTTAATCATTTCATTTAGAGTTGAGATCAGCTCCTTTAAGTGTAGTCTGTGGACTTCAAGTTCTGTAGATTTCCACAAACGCTCTACCTTACGACATGATCTTCTGAACAACATAATTTCCTCATTTCTCCAAGGACAAGAGTTTTTACGAGAGGATATTATGTGCTTTACAGGAGCAACCTCATCTAAGAAAGACAGGCAGTGACAATTAAAAGACTCGACAAAGGAATCAGCATCACTGCAACTAGCAAAACAACTGGGCTCAAAAGATTCTGAGAATTTCTCAACAGCAGTTTGATTGATAACTCGCCTTTGAGAAATCACTTTATGAGGACAACTGTTAAGGTTAAAAGACAAATTAAAATAGACACAGCAGTGGTCGGTGACAGGAACATCCACCACACTCAGCTGGTCAATGATGAGACCAAAAGAGAAGACAAGGTCCAAGGTATGGCCCTTCTTATGTGTAGGCCCAGAAACATGCTGTTTAAAATGAAACGCCTCTGTGAGTGACAGTAACTCTGATGCTGCATTGTAGGATGAGTCATCAAATAAAATCACCAAGAATTAAAATTTTCTCAAGCTTGATAACAGAAGATAAAAATTCAGAAAAATCCTCTAAAAACGCACGGGCAATACCAGGAGGTCGGTAAATTAAACACAATAAAATGAGTCAAAATTCCCAACCTTAGTCATCTGTAGCTCAAAAGAGCTGAACGGATCTGGCTTCATGAGCCTGCAGGAAAAGCAGTCCTGATAGATGAGCGCAAGTCCGCCTCTTCGCCTAGCAACCCGCGGGGTCCCAAACACGGAACAGTTTGGAGGACACAGTTCATTCAGATGAATAAATTCCTGTTCCCGTTGCCAAGTCTCTGTCAAAAACATGAAGTCCAGACTTTCTACATTGAACAAATCCCCAAGGATAAAAGCTTTATTTGCTATGGAGCAAGCATTCAACAGGGCGATCCGTGTTGGTTTTACGCGCACAGCTGCAGGTGCGCTCTGGGCTACCGGACATCGCGGCGGCGAACTAGGTCCGTCCACATACCTCTCCTGGCAGGAGACGGTTCGAAGGAACCGGTCACGCAGTGTGGGGAGCTGGGCTTGACGAGTTGGGAAGATCCGATCAGTGTGCCACAGGGCCGATGACGCACAGAACGGGGAAGGCGCACAGGACAGGGCTGATTCGCAGATTGGTACCGGCCGGAGGCAGCACTCATTTCCAACAGAGCTGGACCCGCTCAGCCATGGCTTTTTCCCACGCTGTTTCCTCATCCTGGTCTGGACACCAGCTCTAGATCCCCGCTTCCTTCTCCGGCCTCGGTGCTTTGCCAGCAGCAGGTACTCAGGTGAGGACGTGGCGCATTCAAAACGTAGAGGGAAAAACTCTGCATACCTGGCCCAGGTAACGCAGGCATCCTCCATATAATATTTTATGGAAAATAACGTGTGCCTATCATATTGATATTGAGTAACAGCCAAAACACAATTATTTGATAGGCTAAATAAAGCAAAATACTAAACAAATCACAAGAATGGGAGACAGATGAGACGGAACAGAAGTCAAGCCGTACACAGGCGCCATCTTGGCATCCATTGCAGCTCAGACTCTTACAGAGTATTGTGGGAGAAGGCTGCAGCTGGCTTCAAGGATGCCCACTGTACTACCGGTACGTTGAACTTTGCTGAGCTGTGAATGTTATAAGAAGTCATCAGTTCACAGCTCATTTCTGTGACTTGTCTTTGTGGACGTTTATGTACGGTATGTGACCTGTCCTGAAATCAGCCCTTGCAAGTAAAATTCCAGTTAAAAATCTTCACCTGCTGTGAGTTGTGGTTCTTTTGAGTAAACAACATCAGTCAATGAGAGAATTGAGAATTTCTCCAACATGTACCAATAAATTGAATACAGTGACAAAGGAAATTATTTACAGTATCACCCACCTGTAGGAATGAAATGAATCTGCCCATTTGAATCTGTGACTCTCCTTCAACACCGCTAGTTTCATACACTGTAACACAAAACAAACATATACTGCACATCTTGTTTCCATCAATAATGTAAGAAATGCTAAGTAATCCAAAATACAAAGTTATTACAAAGGTAAAGAGTCAGAGCTGACTGCCTACCTCCCTCTCCATAATACAATAAGCCATTGTAGAACTTGGTTTCTGCCTGAAAAAGAAAATCTTTTAAAAAGTGTCCAGGAGAAAACAGATACAATATAACCAAACCAACCTGAGAACACTGTTATGACCGTGCTTACCTCATATTTGAGCTTTTTCACTTCACTACAAAGTGCAGCATAAACTGTAATAACTTTGTTCAGAACCTGCACATAACAAAAGTGCTTAATATCAAATAAATACCTTATTCAGCTATAAAACTTACAAATTTGTACTTACCTTATTGTCAGTTTTAATCAGCTCCAATAAAGACGACTGTTCATAAGGGAGAAGCTGAAAAAGAGAAAGTCTGATTTGTGTAGTGATCTCAGCCTTTTCAGGCCTATGTACAGCTATTTAGTTTAGATGTTTTACTTTCAGTGCGATGGGGTCCAGTGTGAAGTCCCAAACATCTCCTATGGAGTCATCCAGAGCTTCTTCGATACCCTTCAGCTGGGAGGTGTACTCCTCCAGGAACCTGCTGTAGTTTTTCAGCTGAACCTCTGTGTGTATTTCTGTTAAGGTTTGATGACACTCGTTACTGAGTGCAATCAAATAAAACTTTCATTTGATTACATTTATCAATGTCAAACTCAAAGTGCACTTGTTCTGCTCTGTTACATTTTAAGGAAACTGCTTTTTATTCCACTTGTGAGCTTTACAGACATACAAATACCTCTAAATATATCAAAAACAGCTATAAAATGTATTATGTGCAAATAAACAAAACAAATGACACTGTAACCTAATTTTCTTCTTATTCTAATAGTTATAATTGCACAGTAATAAAATTATCATGTGCAAAAACTTGAGTTACATCCCTGCTTTCTTTATTCTTGATTTGCCTTTTTTTTTTTTGGCTTCCAACCAGCCAGACTTTCTTAGTTTTCCTTAGAAAACAAACTAGAAGTTGGGTTTATATTTCAGGCTAAAATGCTTAATGAAGTAGCTGTTGTTAGGCAAATATATTAGATATCAGCTAAAACAGATGCCAGACAGAAGAAATGTGGTTATTTGTGCTTCTGTTACTCAGAAAATAAACAACACTGATTAGTTAGCATGAGTTAGCAAACGAAGCTAGCTTTTAATTTTACGTCTAATCTAGTCTCTTTGACGTTCTCTTTAACTAAACACAAAACAATTCCAAAAGTGCTCGTTTGATAGCAATTTATTATAATTAGCAGATATTGTTTCGTTTCCTCCGATTAGCACAGGAAGCCCCAGTTGCTAACAACGGAAGCTAACAGTAGTTTCCTCCATCAGTTTTTCTCTGAAGGACTGAACGGAGCTCTTACTTTGTGAACCGTCGTCAAAACGGTCAAACTCCCAGTCCGGTGCGATGCTGTCCACTGCCATGTTTCCAGAAAAAAATCACCCAAAACCCGAAACACACAGTACTGCTAAGTTAACAGTACAATCCCATGATAGGTCTTGTGATTTTTTTTTGGCCGCTAGACCTCATGGGAAATGTAGTCAACTTCTCATAGTCTATGTAGAAGTGAAAGCTGTTAGCAGAGCTGTTGTTGTTCATTAAGAAATTATAATTAATTAAACATTGAAGTTTCATTATAGCTGTGTTTGGCCTTTTATTACTTCATATTTATTAAGAATAAAAATGAAAAATAAATGTGACTGGAATAAGGCAGACGAAGACTGACACCATTATGCCACCCCTTAGCAAAAAGTAGTTTATTTAAGTGTACTACAAGTATATTGAGCATGCATCAGGATACAAGTATACTTATTTTACACTAAAAATGAGGAAGTGTACTTGAAGTTTACTTTTTATAAACTTTATTTGATATACTTAAAAATAGTACAAAAATGTCCCAGTTTAGTCCAAACAAGTATTAAATCAGTATATTTCTAGTACACTACATGTATGGTGTGTAGTATACTTGATATACTTATACTTAACTTAAAGTACACTTGCAAAAATAAACTTCAAATGTACTACTTTCTGTTAAGGGACATGAATGTTTGGCACTCAACGCTGTTTTGATTGTTAGAATCTTCACAGTTTTATTAAGATCACATTGGAAATATTATCAAATTGTCTTGAATCTGACACTTCTGTCTGGCATGACTGCATATTTTTTCAGGATCTTTGAGTTGATTGAAGAAGAGTGTTTGGAACAGGAAGATCATTTCAGTCAGTATTATTTGGATTGCATTGTCATTTACCTTTTCACAAACTGCACAGATTGTGCATATTTAAATGCAGCTTTGACTATTTCAAAAAATCTGGATAACATTTACACAGAAATCAATGCCCACCTTGAGATGTTTAAATCAAAATCACTGTTAATAGTTTTGCAGTTTTTTTTCCTTAGTCTCAGATATTCCATACAAATATCTTTGCAGTGAACATAAAGTGGAAACTTTAAAACATCTCAATGACTCAGAAAAATTGTCCAAATAACCTGTGGACATGGAAAGAAGTGGACGTACCCATATACAAATTTAAATACCACTAAGGATGTAACAATGGTCCTCACTTGTTTCTGACCAAGTCAGATACAAGTCCTCCTAACTGTTAAAAATGTTAAAAAATGTTTGCATGTTGCTGCAGGAGCAGAGGGTCAGCGATAAGTGGCTGCTCTGTGTGTTTATGTGTGTAAACGATTGTGTGCAGACTAGTGATGGCCAATGATGCCACAAAGACAACTCAATGCACCGTTGAGAAGGCGACAGTCATGATCCGTGTGCCAGAATAGATGCTTCTCCTGCTCTAAAAGTCTTATAAAGGTAAGTTTTTTTTTTCCATTTTACACAGTGATTTGATCAATTACTTTTTATCATGTTTGGCATTATAAAATGATTTTAGAGAGGCTGAAAAATGAAGGCGCACAAAGAAAAAGAAGACATTTTTATTCATTATACTGAAAACTTTATTTTGAATGTTTCTTATCAGTCCTGACATGGAAACCCTGAAATAAATTAAAATGTTTAAAATCTTTTTTCTGCATTACTTATTTTGTTTTTTTATTTATTTCCAGGAGATAAAATACAGTACAAAGACTGTTTTTGACATGTTTGACTCAAGAAACCATTTAGTAGCTTGTGAAAAATGTTAATATTTTGAAAAAAAAAATTTAACTACATGACCATTTTGGTTATTTAGCTTCTTATATCTTCCAGGAATTTCCGTTGAATCACATCATTTACGTCAAACAACTCAGCCTCAGTGCTGCTGTTGGGAAACAAGCAGAGAGAATGATAATGCAGGCCATCCATGCCGTCAGGTGACTCTGACACAAGCAACAGTCCTGTCCACAATAAGGTTGACAAAAAATAAAAAAAGCTGGGACATCATGTCAAATATAAATTAAGACAGGTCACACAAATGTTCCAAACATCAATATGATAGCTACCTAAATTGAAAACAGTTGCAAATAATAACATGAAACATTAAAACTTGAAAATTATTAGTTTGTTTTAAATCTACTATTTTAATTTTGATATATCACTATATTAAAAAAAATAAACATCTAAATCTTTTTTGTTGAGTTACTTCTGAACATTGTTTTAGTTAAAGTATCCTGATGCATGCTCAATAATCCAGGTAGAAAAATCCAAAAAAGTTCAATCTGGTCCTCTGGACATTCAAAAAAAAAAAAACCACAAAACAAAACAAAGCAAAAAAATGTAGAAATGTTTCGTCTCTCATCCGAGAGACTTCCTCAGTCTGAGGTGCTGTTTTCAGCTCAGTCTCTTAAATAGCACCTTCTCAGAGTGGATCAACCAGTTTGCTGCTGACAACCAAAACCAGCTGATCACATGCTCAAGAAGGACCATCAGCCTAACAATGGATCATTAGCACACTGATGGCTGTTTACTATTCACAGAGGGCTGAGTGATACTAGCAATCACAGCATTGTAAGAGGGGGACAGTTGAACACGTAGGCCTCCACCCCTGTTTAACGATGGACGGTTTCTTTTCACAAAGATGGCCTCCTTTACTCCTCTCTCAAACCATCATTCCTCTCTATCCAGGATGTGAACATCTTCGTGTGACCTGCTCCCCAGGAGGGGGATTCATTAGCTTGGAAACTGTTAATGTCTTTTCTTCATTAGCTTGGAA